TCACCCCACCCTGAGTCTGACCACTGGCTCCCACATGCCCGCCCCAGGCCTCAGCTCAACCACTTCTGACTTTCTTCTAGATGCGCCTAGGAATGTGTGGGAACAAGGGCCTCGAGGGCAGGTCTGTGCTGCCCCTGCCCCAGCGCATCTATGTCTGGTGGAGTCAGGGTCACATGAACCAGGAGATGTTAAGGGACTAACAAATGACTAGTCTAAGTGGAGAAAGGGCCAAGGAAGGGCCCTGGTTTGGTGGCCTCAGGGACAGCAGCAGAAGGGCTCCTGGCCTGGTGTGGGGAGCCCACACTCCCAGCCTTGCCCCAGCTGGAGCTGCCAGGGGCACCTCGGACACTTGAGAATGGTCTTTCCCAGCACCCTAGCCTCCCTGTGGCAGAGCTGGGGAACATTCATGGGTGTCTTATGACTGCCCCTTCTCTGTGGTGTTAACTACTCCTTCTAGAACTGTCGGTCCTGTCTGCTTTTATGGATCCACAGCCTTGCTGGCTTTCCTCTGACCTCGCTGACCACTCCTTCCCAGTGTCTCTGTGGGACCCTCTTCCTATACTGACCCTCCAATGCCGATCCCCTTGAGGGCTCCCTCCCCTTTTCTCTCCTCATGCCTCCCAGGTCCCAGGGCAACCTTTCCCATTCATGCGGCTCCAACTGCCACCTTCCAGAGCAATGAAACCCGAGTCCTCCAGGTGAGAGGCTCCTCAGAGCTCTGGACCCACATGGTGGTCCTGGCTGCCCCAAAGATTGACATCACCCTCAAGGAGGGTCCCCCTAGAGTCCCCACCCTGGTGGACAGCTTGGCCCCTCACCCCGTGTAGTAGGTTGAATGGTGGCTCCCCAAAGATGTGTGCCCTTGTAACCTGCAAATGTGACCTTATTTGGGGAAAGATTCTTTGCAGATGTACTGAATTAATAATCTGGGAACGAGGCCATCCTGGAATAGGTGGGCCTTAGATCCAATGACAGCTGTCCTTAGCAGACAAGAGAAGGGGAGGAGACACACGGAGGAGAGAAAGCCAGTGAAGACAGAGGAGGGCCTGGAGTGACGCGGCCACAAGCCAAGGAAGGGCCAGAGCCACCAGGAGCTGGAAAAGGCAGGGAAGTGTATTCCTCAGGGCTTTGAACCCTAAGAGAATCACTGTGTATTGTTTTAAGTAAGCCACCTGTCTATGGACACTGTCACAGCAGCCTGGACGGTGCAAACTTCCTGTCACACGACACTGGGCTCTCACCGCCCAGCAAGGGCAGTGCCAGGCACATCTCTGCACGCTCGTCAAACTCTGAGCCACTCAGGCACCATAAAAGCCATGTTGTGACCATCACAGGTGGGGACAGTAAGGCCGGGTAGTGCTGAAACCTCCCTGGCAAGCTGAGGGCATGGACAACGCCACCCGCAGGTCTGGACTTGGGACTTGGGGGCCCATGGACGGAGTCTAGGAGCTCAGTGACTTGGATAAGTAACAACAAATGTTCATTTTCTGTAATAGTCTCCTAAAATTTACTCTTTGCTTCCACGATACGTGGGGGCCCCAATCCTCAGTGGTGCACACAGCAGCCGTGCCTTTGTTACCGAGAGAGGCCCGTTACCTGTGTGCGCACACTGGTTTGAAATCATCGTGGTCATCTGGCCACCCTGGACTGAATGCAGGACTACAGAAGCACCTAGGTTAACTCTGATGTCACAATTTGTTTGCTGTTTTGGTAGCTGTGTCTCCACGCCCATGGTTGCTCTGTAACCCTGTGTGCTCTGACGCATTTCAGAACAGTCGTCCCAAGAAGCAGTCTTGGGCGCCCTGTGGGGTGGGCAGCGCAGAGTGGCCGAGCAGCTCCGCGCTGGCTGCACTCGAGGGCCTCTCCATCTCCTCCTAACTTGCCAACGCGCTGCCCCTCCATCTCTGGCCTCCATCATTGCTCAAAATAGCCTCTCACAGGGCCCCTGAGGCCACCGTCACATCCACCCACCCAGGGACCCCAGAGGTCTCCCTGCAGCCCCACGCTGACCCTGTCTCTGCCTCCAGCAGGGCCCTCTGTCACCTGGCCCTCCTGGCACACTCTCCAGCCCTGAGTGTTCACTGCCCCTCTCGGGACCTACACACAGGACCTTCCCTTCCTGCCCTGGCCAGAAGGAAGTATTTTGGCCTTCTCCCTAGAGGAGGGTCTGACTCCGTATTTTGGTATGTGAGCCTTTTAAGCCTCCGCCCCCCTTCCCCTGCTGCCCCACATCTGGGCAAGCTGACAAGGAAGGTTGGTGGCCCTTCCTTTGGCACTGGTGGGAGGTGGGGACTCAGCACAATACACCGCTCTCCCTTCCTGCTGTCTCAAGCCATTTCCAGCCCAGGAGGCGTGCCCTTCCCCCCCCAGGGAGCCTCCCCCCCAGAGTGGCAGGGCTTCCGGGGGCCCCCTGGGGACACGTGGAGTCATTGCTCTCCACATTCAGAGCAGACTGGGCTGCGGCCCCTCCTGGTTCTGCCCAGTGGCCACCACGCGCCACCGGCTGGGACCCCCATGCAGGAGGTCTCACCCTCCCGAGAGCCCCGCCCAGCACACAGCTCCTCATGGCCGACACAGCCTGGTCCCTGCCCCTCGCAGCGTCTGCCTGCTCCACCCTGTCTCGGAGACACGGTTCCCTTCTTGGCGAGCAGATGGCGCGCTGTGCACTCCTGGACCTCAGGAGCGTCCTCCCTACAAGCCTCGGGGCCTCAGCCGCCCAGAACCAGGGCCCAGAGAGGTTAGGTAGCTTCCTCAAGGCCGCAGAGTGTGTGAAGGACAGAACCAGGGTCTGGCTCCACCTGTGACACGCCATTCCCGTGGGCCTCAGGGCCCTCCTTGGGGAAGCCCTCCCTGCCCCACTTCCCCCACCCACTGAGGCCATTTGCATCAGTCCCTCCACTGCCTGTCCCTCCAACTGCGAGTTCTGTGGGGTCAGGCACAGGACCTGCCCTGCTTTTGCCGCCTCACTGTGCGCAGCAAGCCCTCTGCAGTTCAGTGTCAGACGAAGGAGTGACAGCATTTAGGGGGTGCTTGAGAAACCTGGAGTGGGGCTGCAGGGTCCTGGCAGGCATGGGGGTGAGTGGGGAGTGGCAGAACTCAGGGAGCCCATGCAGGGACAGCACAGATCAACCCCCTACTGTGTGCAGCCGGAAGCAGCATGGGCACATGGTGTCCTCTGCTCCTCGCCCTCAAACAGGTCCACATCGGGTCCCCCCAGGTGTGTGGCTCTGTACTTCCTGTCTGCAGTCCATGCCATGCCCGGCTCCTGCCCTGCCAGCACACACAAACCTGGGACTGTTAGAGAGATGCAGGGCAGGGGCGAGGCACAGTGAGAAGGTCCATGGCGTCCCCTGGCCACACCGTGGCACAGTGGGGTAGCTGGTGCTGCAGGGGGAGGCGTGGCATCGCGAACCCACTGGCCCCAAGGTTCTGCCTAGCACCTCTGGGGAGGGGGGCTTGGCTGGTGGTCACCAGCAGGAAGTGGTGACCTCATCTCACGGTAATCCCACAGGTACCTCTCCGGGCCTGCTGGCTGTGGCGGAGTGGACCAACTATGGAACCCACAGACTGGCTCGAGTCCCAGCCCAGCTGGGCGCTCATGACGTGGCTCTCAGTGAGTTACTCTGAATTTTGAGACTTAGTTTCCCAGCCTGTAAAGTGGGCAGGCCTGAAGGGGACTCTGTTGCATGGGAGGTGGGAAGGCTGCAGCTTTGGTGGGAAAACCAAGTCCATCACTGAATGCAGGGAAGGCATGCAGGTCACCAAATGCCAGAGGGGCTGGGCTGGCCACCCTTGCATGCTCCTGAATCTGCAGTTCCTCCCACGAGAGACGCTGTGCCAGACTACACCTGGCTACAGGCTCACCATGGCTGCCAGCTGTCTGCAGCTCTCCTACCACGATGTGCCTTCTGTTTCCCTCCCTAGAATCTGGTGGCTTTGTGGCTTGTTTGAGTAACAACATGCAGTCTGCTGATGTGATACGAGCTCCAGCCTAGGCGGCAGGAGGCCTGTGTTCCTGTCTCTTACACTCTGCCATTGTCAGGGGGACAAACCTGACCCGCACACTGGTCCCAGGAGGAGGAGGGAACACAAGGAGTACAGCCACCTGGCAATCCAGCCTAGCACAGCTGACCCCAGCCAAACCCTGACTCCTGAGGAAGCAAAAGCCCCCTAGTTTGGGGACAGTTTGTTATGCAGCAACAGGTAACTGACAAGAGAGCAAATAAGAGTAAGAGGACAGGCTGACCCAGGAGAACTGCCGTCATCGGGATGTACTCCTTGTCCTGCCCCTTGGTGCTGTGGCACTGGGGCCTGGCCTCACGGAAGTGACATTATCACAAGGAAAGTCACAGCAGGGGAGAGAAACCAACCAGCGCCCTGAGAACCACAGCCAGGGACAGGCCAAGAGCAGTGTAAATGTCACCTCAAGCATTTAAGGATCCACATGGCACCCCCTCCCATCCTTTCTGGTGCCACAGAGCAGGTGAGCCAAAAGGTGTTTGCTGGGAGGATTAATTAGGCCCTTTCCAACACCTGGCATTTAGTAGACACCCAGTTCAATGGGTCCCTTCTTGCCACATCCAAAGTGGCCATCTCCCACTGCCAACTTTTTCAGTAAAACCTTCTTATTGCTCTCTTGCCTGTAAATGGCACCTGAAGCGTTGGTGGAAGCCAGGTGATGGCGTCCTCATGCAAGTGCTTGCACAGGTGGGTCTGCTGGTTACCTGCTGCCTTGTGTTTCAAGAACTTGCTCAGCTGCAAGTCTCCATTACAAGCTCTCACCTGCCAGGTCCTTTCTCCTGCTTCCTTCTTGCCCATAGACTTCTGGAAATTTTGCCTAAATTGTTTTTCTGTCTTGGGATAACACCCCTAACTTCTGGTCATTTGCCTTGACTCTGGACTTCTTGCACTGCAGAATCTCCTTATCCATGCCTGGTGCCTGGCCTCCTACCCATTCTGACCCTGTGTGACACCACACAGGCCAACCTCAGATGGCTTACCTGGGCCTGCCTCTGAGCCTCTGTGCTCTGATGCCTGGTACCTTCCAGAGTTGTCTGACCTGGTTTCAGCCTCCTCACTCTGCTGTCTCCTGAGCGCTGGTGGGAAGTTCACTCTGCTCCTGAGCTTGTTCTCACAGAAGTATGCACACTGCTTGGGGTGCTGTCCACAGGTGGAGATGCAGCTGATGCAGTCCCTCAGGAGATAGTCATAGTACTTGCCTTGCTCCTTGCGGCAGCTGAGTGACTCTGAGACAGAAACAAATGATGCTACTGGATGACAGAGACCTGTAGGAACTCTGGGTCTGGCCTCAAAGGACATCAAAATAAAAAAAAAAATCATAGTCTGATTCCCTAAAAGCAATCCCAGAGCAAGCCAAGATCTTTCACAAGGTACAAATTGGAGGCTATGTGTTGTCCTCTAAGTATTGTTTTAGCTGCATTACACGCAGTTTGATATTTAGTATTTTTCCTATACCTACTTCAAAATATTTTTACTTTTCATTATTTCTTCTTTGACTTATAGATTCTACAAAAGTGCATTTCTTAGTTTCTAAACATGTAAGGATTTTCTAGTTATCTTTTAAGATTCATATCTAGATTACACTGTCATGTTAGATCTTTACTTGTGTTTTTCAAGCTTCATCAAGGAAAATCATATTTCAAATTAGCATAAAGAATGTAGGGGAAAAACCAGAATCCTCTTGAGCAAGTTGGGGGAGGGTACTGGAAAGAAGGTAGGAAAGCTCACATCAATAGTGATTTTCTGTCTTAATAATAATTGACAATGACAGCAGCTTAAATAGGTTATCAGTGCCAAGGCACAGAAGCCAAGGAAAGTGAAGCCCAATCACACTTGCCTTCAGAGAGCACTGTGGACACAACTTTGAGTGCATTGAAAAAAATCTATTACCCCATGAATAGCCTCAGAATATGTTTAACATGGAAGTTTTTATGTGAAAGAGGCAAGCTTCCTTTTTCTTTAAAATAAGATTCTATTTATATGAAAATATGGCTCGCACAGAGATTTTATAGACACATTTCAGAGACAGTGCTGCACAGTGGTTAAGAACACAAACTTGAAAGCCAAACAGGCTTGGGGCCACCCATGGCTCCACCACTTGCAGGCAGTGTGGTCTTGCCCTTGGTTCCATTTCCAAGAGTGGGCTAACAGCAACGCTGCCTTCTTAGGGCTGCTGTGCGCAGTGCCTGGCACAAGCAAATGCTCAGGCAATGGGACGTCTGAGTAGAGTGTCATGCAAGCCTCTTTACAACGCAGCACACACCCATCCTCACTTATGTCCTCGACAGAGCAAAGGGGGGCCGACAAGATCATAGAACTGGGGCCTCGGGATACTCAGATGGCCCAAAGGGGCCAGTGGCCTCTGCTGCTCTGGCTCTGCCCCGTCCCCAGGGCCCCACTGACCCTCACAGGGACTGACTGCCACTCACAACCCAGCATCAGCCCTGCAGCGATATTCTTGGGGCTTTCTGTGACCCCCTCCCTTCTTTAGTGGCCCCAGCCTGGCAGTCACAGGTGGTGCCTGAGTGTCCCAGACCACTGACCCTCAGTGCCTGATTTCACGCCCCTCCAGCCTCTACCTCAGGCCTAGACAATCCCTGCCCGGTGCCTTTGCTCATGCGGGTCTCTCTTCGGGGGTGCGCCTCCCCTCATCTGATTTCCACTGCAGTGAGCTCTGTGAATCCATCCCTATGGCCCTTCCTCCGTGTGTTCACCATCAGCTGGAGGTGGCCTCTCCCAACTGTGGCTTTTTATGGTACTTACCCTTTCTGCCTTGAAATGTAGTCATTCCTCCCATTAGATGATACTCTCTCTGAAGGGCCATGCTAGATTCCTATTTCCATGGGGCTAGAGGGGTCCATGTAATTTGTGGGATGAAATAACAAATATTATAATTCATTAATGCGTAGTGATTTAGAGTCATGATTTTTGTGTCAGAGTCCTGGGTTCAAATCTTGACATTTCTACTTTTAAGCTGTATGATCTTGGATAAACCACTTTGCCCCTCTGAGCTCTGCTTAATGTGTGTCAGGCACTGTATTAGCCTCAAATCAGACACGGTTCCTTCCACCAGCGAGCTCACAGTCTACCAGGTGAGTCAGACACAGAACAGACACACAAAAGAACATAATAGCAAATCATGGTAAGTTCTATCATGGAAAATGACAAGCTATAAAAAAGAACAGCAAGTAACAGATATTTTTCAAGACCCTCAAACTGGATATGGCCTGAGTAGTAGATTATGTCAAGGAATTATTTCTGTTGCTGGGGGTGGTAAGATATAAAGGTTATGTTCTAAAGGTCCTTTTGTATTAGAGATTCATGATCTAGTATTTACAGGTAAAATTATATGAGGTCTTGGATTTGCTTTAAAATACCCAGCCAAAAAAAATTGACTGGGAAATTACAAGGCAGAATTTTTATGATTTTTGACGCTGATATACATGGGGTTTACTATGCCATCCTGTCTGTGTGTGTGTGTGTGTGTGTGTGTGTGTATGTGTGTGTATATGTGTGTGTGTATATATGTGTGTGTATATATATGTGTGTGTGTATATATGTGTGTATATGTATATGTGTGTGTATATATATATTTGTGTGTGTATATGTGTATATATGTGTGTGTATATGTGTGTGTGTATATATGTGTGTATATATATGTGTGTATATATGTGTGTGTATATATGTGTGTATATATGTGTGTGTGTATATATGTGTGTATATATGTGTGTGTATATATATGTGTGTGTATATATATGTGTGTATATATATGTGTGTGTATATATATATGTGTGTGTGTGTGTGTGTGTGTGTGTGTTTGAGACAGCATCTTACTCTGTTGCCCAGGCTAGAGTGCTGTGGCGTCAGCCTAGCTCACAGCAACCTCAAACTCCTGGGCTCAAGCAATCCTCCTGCCTCAGCCTCCCGAGTAGCTGTGACTACAGGCATGCACCACCATGCCCGGTTAATTTTTTCTATATATTTTTAGTTGGCCAATTAATTTCTTTCTATTTTTAGTAGAGATGGGGTCTCCCTCTTGCTCAGGCTGGTCTTGAACTCCAGGGCTCAAGCAATTGTCCTGCGTTGGCCTCCTAGTTTATGTATATGTTTGATAATTTCTACAATAAAATGTTTCAAAAGAAAGTAACAACCGTGGCCAAGGAGGGCCCAATTTCTACTGGGTAGTCAGAGACGACTTCTGACATCGGGCTGAGACCTGAAGACTGGGGAGGAGGGAGCTGAAGAAGGATGAATTGAGGAAATGCATTCCAGGCAGAAGGAACAGCATGTACAAAGGGCTGCAGGCAGAAAAGGACGCAGCATGTTCAAGAAACTGAAAGGAGGCAGTGTGACCAGAGCAGAAGGACAAAGGAGTGAAGAGGCCAGGTTGTACACCTCCCACCGCCCCTCCTCAGCTACCTGACTGCAGTGGGGCCAGACGGGTTCTAGGGGGGAGGGTTATCAGCTGGCCCCTGGGCTCAGGCCCCAGAACTCACTGCAGAAGGCTGTACAGGTGTGCTGGTTCCGATGGTTGCAGGTAGATTTGCAGGAGATGCAGCGGTGCAGCAGGGGCTCCCAGTACTGCTCTTTGGGGCAGGGGCCCATAGCCACCCGGTCTGCAGTCCGCAGGCCCTGTGGAGCTAAAGGGCAGGAGTGTGAGGTATATATGTGTGTGTATATATGTGTGTGTGTGTGTGTGTGTGTGTGTTTGAGACAGAGTCTTACTCTGTTGCCCAGGCTAGAGTGCTGTGGCGTCAGCCTAGCTCACAGCAACCTCAAACTCCTGGGCTCAAGCAATCCTTCTGCCTCAGCCTCCTGAGTAGCTGGGACTACAGGCATGCGCCACCATGCCCGGCTAATTTTTTTCTATATATATTAGTTGGCCAATTAATTTCTTTCTATTTATAGTAGAGACGGGGTCTCACTCTTGCTCAGGCTGGTTTCAAACTCCTGACCTCGAGCAGTCCGCCCGCCTTGGCCTCCCAGAGAGCTAGGATTACAGGCGTGAGCCACCGCGCCCGGCCAGCCTCCTATTCTTGACTGGAGCCCAGCAGTCCTGCTCACGGCCCACAGACTTCCAACCCCAGTTGTGCTCACTGGGCAATCTGGGGCAGCCTCCTCTCTGAGCCTCTGTTTCCTCATCTGTGAAACAGTGGTTCTGAGCCCCCCCCCCCAATCAGCAGTGCCGTGCTCAGCCCTGCTCTGTGCCCTCCTACCACAGGACCTGTGCTTTCCCTTTGCATAAAATGCTCTTCTGCCCCACCCCCCCACCCCTCACTGGTTATTTCCTCCTCATCCTGGAGATCCATGTTTAAACTTTAGTTCCTCAAGGAAACCTTTCTGACCCTTCCCCCAGACTAGGGCACAGCCCTTGTTCTATACACTCACAACACCCTCAACTTGTCACTGTAGTCATTTTCCTTCTACATGTGTGGCTATTGGATAGTGTCCCCTGCACTCACTGTGTGTGTCATGTGGCAGGAACTCTGCCCAGCTGTGTTCATTGCTGGGTCCTCAGAAACTGCCAGTGCTTAGGACAGGGTAGGTGCTCATTAAATGAATGAATTTTTAAAAAGCAAACCTGGTAAGTGCCTCTCATACAGCAAGGACTCAATAAATGCCAATTCCCTTCCCTTTTCCTTTTTTACTGAGCTATGAAACACACACAATGACATGTTAAAGTGCACAGACCCTAAGGATGTAGCCTGGTGAAATTTTACAAATGCACACACCTGTGTCTGTACAGCCCACATGGAGATCTAGAACATTCTTTTCCTGCACTCCCTTGGGCCCCTCCCATCCAGTAGCACTGTCAGAGGTAACTGCTGTTGGACTTGTTGCTACTTGGTCTTCTGCGTCTGGTCTGAGACTGCCCCGCACCCTGCTGTCTGTGCAGTGTTTTCCTATTGCTGCGAGTCTTCCGCAGCGTGACGCATCGTCTCCGCTACAATCTGGTCTGATTTCATGACATTTGCTTCCCCTAGCAAATTCTCCTTTTACGCATTTTGCAAGGCATTTCTTTATTCTTTAATGAAAGCAAACTGAGAAAAGACTGTGGTCTCCTGTTTAGCACGGCAGTTCAAACATGTGGGCTTATCTTCCTTCCCTCCTGAAACCGTATATGCTGACAGCAAGCACATTTGTCCTCAAAGATGCAGGGAATGGCAGAAGTTTCTATGGCAGGGAACAGGTGTCAGCAACATTTTGGAAGGTGGCAGGACTGAAATGCCTGGGTGCAGGTGAAGCTCTCTCCATGTTTATGCCCACAGGGCATGGAAGCCATTTTGAGCCACAGGACTCCAGCAAGTGTCCAGCACTGAGGCGCCAGATGTCTCTGACAAGTGGCGACTGGCAGGAGGCGTGACGCTATGGAAACTCAAGTAGAAAGGGCTTGACTCCAAGCAGGTCCCCATTCCCAGGCGGGTGCAGCCCCTCGCCCACCTGAGCACTGTAGGGCAGAGGCATTTGTAGGACAGAGGAAGGGCAGAGGAATTCTTCCAATTGTCGGGAATTCACTTGGGTGGGGCAATGAGCTAACGGCAAACCTTTGCTTCTGGTCATTGCTTGCTTGCTATACCGCTGTAGGGGGAATTATGGGATGAGGTCATTGAAGCACGGGCGACTGGCCCATCAGGCAATAGGGGGCAACCAACCCGCCAATTATTTCAAAAGGCAACAGTGGGCAACCAATCATTTTAAAGGTCAACACATGATCCACGCGTAGTCGGCTTGTGCGCAGCTTGTGCACCGTGGGGATAAAAGGCATGCTGTTGTTCCGGTCGGGGTCCTTGCCTGCGAGAGTGGCCACTGTGTTGGTGCTCTGGGGCTTGGACCCTGGCTAGCCAGAAAATAAACCTCCTCTTGTGTGACTGCATCCTCGATGTCTCTGCTTTTCTGTCCGGTGGGGCTGTGGAAGGTCGGTCCCTAACAAGCACAAGACTAGGACTCCTCAGGTAGAGCTGAAGGTAGCAGCAAGGTCCTTCCTGGCAATAGGGTGACTGGGTGAGAATCTTCCTCCTGAAGTCAGTCTCCCCTCTCCCTACTCACCCCTGCACCTGCCTAAGAAGTGCCGCAGCTAGGGTTTCTAGAAACACCTCCCTCTTCACCCTACAAATGCCAGGAAGTCAGAAGACTCTGCTCCGGGAAAATGGATGCAAAGGAAAAGACTTAGAGGCACTGACCAAGCGGGAGATTCTCTCCAGAAAATGGCCAAGTCCCTGCCTGCTCACACCGTCCATACAAAGTGTCTGCATCAGCCACCCAGAACTCAGTCAGTTGTCAGTGCCTCAGTCTGAGTTGTGAGCCCACAGTCAAGGCCCACCTGCACAAATTAAAATTATTAGAAATTAAAAATATAATATCCAGGTAAAAATACTGGTAGAAGGGTTGGAAGATGTAATTGAAAACATTTCCCAGAAAACAGGAGAAAAAATAATGTTTTGTATTTCCACCGTGTCTGTTGTGACCTCCTTTTTCCTTTCTAACTGAGTTTATTAGAGTCCTTTCCCTTTGAATTCTTGTCAATCTAGCAAGAGGGCTGTCAATTTTATTTATCTTTTCGAAAAACCAGCTTTTGGTTTTGCTGATCTTTCGTATAATTCTCTTGTTCTCAATTTCATTTAGCTCTGCTTTGATCTCAGTTATTATTCTTTTCTTCTACTAGGATTGGAATTGATTTGCTCTTCCTTTTCCAATTCCTTGAAACTGTTTATTAGATTGTCGATTTTTGAGCTTTCTGTTTTCTGGATATGAGCATTTATTGTTATTAGTTTTCCTCTCAGGAATGCTTTTGCTGTATCCCACAGGTTTTGATAACTTGTGTCTCCATTTTCATTTAGTTCAAAGAAACTCTTGATTTCCCTCTGTATTTCCTCCTTGACCCAATAGTTACTCAACAATAGATTGTTTAATTTCCATGACTTTGTGAGGTGGTGAGTATTTCTGTTGGAATTGACTCTAATTTTATACCATTATGGTCAGAGAAGATACACGGTATAAGTTCTATTTTTTTGAATTTGTTGAGGTTTGATTTGTGGCCTAGTATGTGATCAATTTTGGAGAAAGTTCCATGGACTGATGAGAATAATTTATATTCAGCTTTATTTGGGTGAAATGTTCTATAGAGATCTGCCAGACCTGTTTGTTCAAGAGCTCTGTTGTTCATTATTTCTTTGCTTATTTTCTGTTTGGAAGATCTGTCCAGTTCATTCAGTGGGGTGTTGAAGTCCCCTGCTAACTATGGCATTATTGTTTATCATGGTATTTAGATCAGACAAGGTTTGCTTTATGTAACTGGGTGGTCCTGAGTTGGATGCATAAATATTAAGAATTATTAATTCTTCTTGTTGGATCTTCGCTTTCACCATTATATAGTGGCCATCTTTGTCCTTTTTAACTTTTGTTATTTTAAAGCTTATGTTATCTGAAAATAGTATGGCTACCCCTGCTTTCTTTTGACTTCCATTTGCCTGGATGATAGTTTTCCATCCCTTGGCCTTGAGCCTGAAGGCAACTTTGTGGGTCAGATGCATTTCCTGTAGGCAGCAGATACGAGGCTTGTGGATTTTTATCCACTCTGCCAGTCTATGCCTCTTCAGAGGACAGTTTAAGCCATTCACATTTATTGAGAGGATTGAAATTTGAAGTAGATTTCTATTCATATTGTTAGGCAAAATCCTGTTGTTTTGTTTTACTCCTTGAGTCATCATGAAACCCAAGTTCTACCCTTTAACTCTTGAATGATTTTACTTTGAAGAGTGTCTACTGCACTGTCTGGTGTATAATGCAGGTCTGAGTACTTCCTGTAGGGCTGGTCTGGTCTTTGCAAATTCCATCAGTGATTACTTGTCTGGGAAGGACTTTATTTCTCCCTCATAGATGAAACTTAATTTTGTCAGATTAAGAATTCTAGTTTAGGTATTATTCTGTTTTAGAAGATTAAGGATAGGCACCCAATCCCTTCTGGTTTATAAAGTTTCAGCTGAGAAATCTGCAGTTAGTCTGATAGGCTTTCTTTTGTAGTTTATTTGTTGCTTTCATCTCACTGCTTGGAGAATTGCTTCTATAAAAACGTATATGCCCCAAAACTACATAATGAGAGGAAACGAACAAATTTCTAGAAACATAAAACCTACCTCCCTAAGTTCACCCAGGAGGTAACAGAATTTCTGAATAGACCAATCTCAAGCTCAGAAATTGGAGCAGCAATTAAAAACCTCCCAAAACAGAAAAGTCCCAGACCAGATGGCTACACTTCAGAGTTTTACCAAACATAACAAAGAAGAACTCATATATCTATACTACAGAAATTATTACACAACATTGAGAAAGACGGTATCATTCCTAACTCATTCTATGAAGCCAATATCACCTTAATACCAAAGCCAGCAAATGACACAACAAAAAAAGAAAATTACAGACTAATATCCCTCGTGAATATAGATGCAAAAATCCTCAACAAAATTTTAGCAAATTGAATTCAGCAGCATATCAAAAAAATAATTCACCATGACCAGGTGGGCTTTATTCCAGGGATGCAAGGCTGGTTCAACACACACAACTCTATAAATGCAATTTGCTTCATAAATAAAAGCAAAAACAAAGACCATATGATTCTCTCAATAGATGCAGAAAAAGAATT